TGGACGTCACTACTATGGAGGTAGCTGTGTATAGTGTGTGTGCTTCAACTGTCACCAGCCTCTACTGAGAGCTGGACGTCACTACTATGGAGGTAGCTGTGTATAGTGTGTGTGCTTCAACTGTCACCAGCCTCTACTGAGAGCTGGACGTCACTACTATGGAGGTAGCTGTGTATAGTGTGTGTGCTTCAACTGTCACCAGCCTCTACTGAGAGCTGGACGTCACTACTATGGAGGTAGCTGTGTATTAGGACTAATTTATTGCTGGTGTAGTATGTGTATTTAGGACTAATTCATTGCTGGTGTAGTATGTTTATTTAGGACTAATTTATTGCTGGTGTAGTATGTGTATTTAGGACTAATTTACTGCTGCTGTAGTATGTTTATGTGTACCATGTTAAAAATATTATTATATCTCACCTAAAAAGGTTTTTTAATAGTTTGTAATAACAATAATTTTTCCACTATGACAATAAGTTGAAAACCTGGACCGTTAACTGTATCGTGATATTTAATTTATTATTGTTTTATAGTGCTGAGTCAATCTCCTATTGACAATTAATGTAATCAACAGTTTGAAAGCTATTTATCTATTTAACCAAAAATTCCATCCTACTAATCAATAAATCTTAATAAGAAGCAACAAAGTATTTACCTGTAATTATCAGCACAAAAATTACACCAATTATAACCATTATGGCAATCATCTGAAATAGGAACAATACTAACATTATAAACAATGTTATTCACACTTTTCTACCATATAAGTGAAACAATACCTAATTAAACAATTTCTTCTTCAACAATTAAATATAATCAAACCCAAAAATTAGAAGAATAAAAAACTTTCAACAATGAAATACATCCAACTTCAACAATTAGAAAAATGACATTTTTAAATAATAAAATTCAATCTAATCCAACAGGGTGAAAAAAAAATGATAATTTTCATTATCAAATACAACAAGTTCAAAAAAACCTGTTTGTCAGTGAAAAACGTATTTCCTGTTTTCATAAAAGAAAGATTATTCCGTAAACAAATGTACGAAACTGGTATTTTCAAGACCAGTAAAACACACTATGATACAATTAATATATTAATTTGAGGATTATATCAAAGAAAAGTTTATTTTTTTTCTGCAGAAAAACAGAATTAGCCAGAATCCGTTTAAACTAAAAACAAAAACTTGCTGTCTTAGAGACTTAATAAAAAGACAAACCATTATTGAAAATAATATTTCAATGATTATGTTTCAAAATACAAGCATCTAGTTCCTTATTACAATATCTAAACACAATGTATCTTTAAATATTTTTCTACCAATGTACAGAGAATTGTGTTTCTATGATCAATTGGTCACTTCAGTTTCAAAAGTAATATTTAGTTTTCCAAATATGTTAAGAGATGTTATTCTCTTTGTAATAAGTAGTTATTTAGATGTTCTTAAGCACAAAGCTCTCTGTGTTGTGACTACCAAGTATCAAAACCTAAGTTTTACCATTACCCGCCCTCAGACTTACCACAAAGCCATTGCTAAACTTTATTATATAAATGTAAACATCAGACATGACGTATTGCTAAACTTTATTATATAAATGTAAACATCAGACATACGATTTATTGCTAAACTTTATTATATAAATGTAAACATCAGACATATGATTTATTGCTAAACTTTATTATATAAATGTAAACATCAGACATGACGTATTGCTAAACTTTATTATATAAATGTAAACATCAGACATATGACGTATTGCTAAACTTTATTATATAAATGTAAACATCAGAAATATGATGTATTGCTAAACTTTATTATATAAATGTAAACATCAGACATATGATTTATTGCTAAACTTTATTATATAAATGTAAACATCAGACATATGACATATTGCTAAACTTTATTATATAAATGTAAACATCAGACATATGATTTATTGCTAAACTTTATCAGATCACTTAAGTAATTAGTCTTCGGGGTTTTAGATTTTTTTAAATATCAGTGATGAGAAAATGGTTTTAATAATCATTACATATCTGTTTATTTTCATTTTTTCCAATGTACTAAACAGTAATTACATATAATTACTGACTGTTCTGCTCAACAAACCTAATAATTGAGACTTCAAGTTTCCAAAATAATTCTGTACTAAACCTCACCTTCAAATTTTTCCACCAAAATTTTCTTTTTAGTTTACCAGCATGCTGTTCAAATTGTGACGCTCCTTGCTGTAAGGCATCTATAAGGAGACACAAAGTGTCTTCTATTAGCACCACATCTTAACTTATACATCTAACAACACAACTAACCTCTCATGTAACTGTTCAGTATCTGAACACCTTTCAACATAACAACAAAAGATAATATTTTTTTAATTTTAAAGCACAATTAGGTGTAACCCGTGCTACAGATGCTATCTTCAGAAAAGCTTAATTTATCTATTAAATAAGTTTGGGCCATAAAAATCACAGATCAGTTTTGTGAACATATTTTGTTCAAGGTCCTGCTATCTAGTGAGTGAAACTTAAACTACTTTTTAAAACAATTTTCACTGCACTCAGTAGATGGCAACCAGTCAACAGTTGAGCTCATTCTAAATTATTTACTTACATCATTCAAGCTCCAACTTTATGACAACAGAGCAACAAAACTAGTCTAGCCAGAGTATTAAGTGACACTGAATGTAGCAAGAGTATTATATAATACTCCATAGTAGAAGTTGTATTGTAGCACTGACGTCCAGCTCTCAGTAGAGGCTGGTGACAGTTGAAGCACACACACCGGTGTAGTATGTGTATTTAGCAATAAATTAGTCCTATATATACACATACTACATCAGCAATAAATTAGTCCTATATATACACATACTACACCGGCAATAGATTAGTCCTATATCTACACATACTACACCGGCAATAAATTAGTCCTATATATACACATACTACATCAGCAATACATTAGTCCTAAATACACATACTACACCGGCAATAGATTAGTTCAAAATACACATACTACATCGGCAATAAATTAGTCCTAAATGCACATACTACACCAGCAATAAATTAGTACTAAATACACACACTACACCAGCAATAAATTAGTCCTAAATACACATATTATATCGGCAATAATTTAGTCCTAAATACACATACTACACCAGCAATAAATTAGTCCTATATATACACATACTACATCGGCAATAAATTATTCTTGTGAATACACATACTACACCAGCAATAAATTAGTCCTATATATACACATACTACACCAGCAATAAATTAGTCCTATATATACACATACTACATCGGCAATAAATTAGTCCTATATATACACATACTACATCGGCAATAAATTAGTCTTGTA